CTCACTGAGATATTTCGTGGTTGTCCTCTGTCACTCCAGGCAAATTTAGGGATAGTTCCATGAAATTATGTCATATACTTCACCTTCCATATCCCTTCTAATTATTCACTAATCATTCTGTTATTTTACGTTGTGTATTAGGACCTCCCGAGAACGTAGTTTATATACCACAGAGAATACCTGAGGATACCTGATATCTAGGGTAGGATTTGTCTCTTCCCCACGGCGTCCTTACCAGTTGTGGGGTCAACCCAATCTCCTATCTGGTGGATACTTGGTTTTTATCTTGTGGGTAAAGCGACCGGGGCGTGAAGCTGGACGATTACACCAAGAAAGCTTGGTCTGTGGTGACCGTCGGCTTGTCTTACGTCAGCGAGGGGAAGAATTCCATCCGCGTAATGAGCCCGAGATGAGCGGAGGTGGGGGTTTTCCCAGCGCGTCACCCGTCTCGAGACCGACGTGAGACCAAGTCGGTTGCGCCTGGAACATTCTACTTGTTCGTGAGCGTCTTTCCTTCCAACTCGCTAAACACTGGGGTTACAGAACCGGCGTAGCCGAAGGTTGGTGAGATGGGTGGGACATGTAGCTTATGTAACAAGATTTTGATTTGAGAGCTTGAAGGGAAGACGCCACCCGAAAGACCTAGGTGTAGATGAGAGGATAATATTAAAGTGAATAGTAATTAAGTAAGATGTGATGTGGACTCATTTGGCTCACGACGGGGACTACGGTAATGAACATTTGGGCACCGCAAAAGGTGGAGAATTTATTGGTCAGCTGGGCTACTGTTAGCGTCTCGTGAAGGACTCCGCACGAACATAGTTGTTTGTTGGTTAGCAGGAAGCCCTGGATTTAATATTTCCCCGGAGTCCGGTTATCCTGAGACTGATTTTTCGTGGGTTTTCCCAATCCGTTCGCGTAAATTCTCGGATAATGCATAAAATTGACAGCCGCCTCCTTTCGTATCCATTTCGGTTCATTATTCATATATCTTGCGAATCATAGCTACGGATGCTGTGGGATGACATACAGATCTTTTTCAGTGCACTTGAGATCTTTACAACTAACTGTTTTAGATGCATTTTAATATTATCTTCTCATATGCGTTAGCGTGTTCAACGAATATTTATCTGTGCTACATACCCCACTTATCATACCCGAAAATAGTTCAAGACCGCCTCCTTTCAAATCCTTTCCAGCTGTTCGCTTCACCGGAAAGACACGTCACCACAAAGAAATTCAGGAAAATTTCGTGTTCAGGTCACGAAACTTCGTCCAGTGGGGAAGGGGGGGATACTTTCGCCCCAGGTCCAAGAACTGCCTATAGACCGCGGGACAGACCCCCAGGGGGAGGGGTTGTGATAATATTCTTTGCCGTCTGGTTCTTTATTTCAACAGGGAACAGATCGGTGTACTTTGCGGTAATGATGTAGATTTATGTTTGAGAAATACACGATTTTAATCTCTGATGATCGACCTAGGACCGAAGGTTTTCATGATTTTCCTCAGTATGTGAACACCTGCAGTTATGTAACTGAAACAAAACACTTTTAAAATAGTGTGAATTGACATGTGTAGAAAGTATAAAGTGTCAGGATTTTACAATAACTGAACTTGAATTGTAATAAACTAACATTGAGGTTAGGTATTGCAGAACTGGGAAAAACAAATTTGGGAAGTACGTGCCCACTAGAACAGGACCACATTTTTTAATGTTTCCGTACAGCTACAAGATTTTTGATTTTTTTTTAATAGACGTTTTCGTTGTACGCTTGAAAGAAACCTGAAGAAAAGAATGAATTTTGTGATGAAAACTTTTTTTTATGTACAAGTATTCCGTCGTTTCTGAACGAAATTCTGATTATCGCGAGTGGTTGAAATTCTCTGTTTCGAAACTCTTTCGTCTCCCGTCTCGGTGTGTTTTCGACATTCACCTGTTTTAAAATCTTGTCCTTTGAATGAATAAAATCCGCGTTTCATGAAATGGCTTTGAATCCTCCCACGCCCCTTCGGCAGGATTAGATAAAACTTCAGGGTTACTCAACTCGTCTCTCCATGTCCTTTCGACGAGTTCGCAGATGGCTGTCTTCTGGGTTTGTTGCTCCGTGTAGTCTGGTTGAAGTTTACCGACGTTTCAGAGATGCTTGCCTCCGAAACATCAGAAAACTTGTCATAAGCCATATTTACGATAATAACAGCGATTATACTAATTAATAATAACGCTGATCAACTTGTAAATATCGCGCGTGTGTATAAATTAATAGAATAATAGCAGAGCTAGTTGGAAGAAAGTCGTCAGTGTCGTATTGGGAGGTCCCTGAGTCAAGTCTCTTACCCTGCGGGTCTGTCCATTCCATCTTGATCGTACTAGAAGCTTTTAGACGGGGACTCAATGACAGTAGTGGGCCCTGCTCGGCGTAGTTGATGAGCCTTGTCCCTGCACAATGCACTGCAGCCAGTCAGGTAAGTTGTTCAGGTATTTGCGATGTTGCCACGTTTCTCTCTCAGCGATATTAATATCGTAATAGTGAAAAGGAGACCGTACATCGTGTTGGTCTTTACTGCTCTTTGTGGGGGATTTGGGGCCCAGGCCGCGTGGATTCTGATGAAGAAACGTTCTTCCTTCGTTGTAACATGTGTTTCTCGGTTCTTCTGTGTGAAACCTTACGCGATTCGAGTTGCTCGCGGTGTTGAAAATGTGGATTGGTGTCCTCCAGGTTGTGACGGTCTTTGATCGTGTAGGCGGTTTGTAGAAATGCGTAATTCGCCTGCGTCACCACGCCTCTTGTGGAGGTCCTGCCTGTCAGACAGAAGCCAGAGGATTGGTTCCACGAAGTGCCGTCGCTGACTGCAGTCGGTCTTCCCGCCAGTCTTTGGTGATCCTCTGGCTCGAAGGCAGTGGAGTGCAGCGGGGGTGACCAGTTGTCTCATCGGTGGAATGCTAGCCGGTGGTGCCCCCTCGCGAGCCTTGAATTCGCGTTGTCGCAGAATCCTCTGCATTTTTGTCCTACGGGTAATTCGTTTGTAATTGCCAGCATTATATCTGACTTTCCCACAGGCTCTGTGTGTGTGTGTGGTTTTTCAAGTTCCGTGGGCGCTTAACCATGAAGAACCTTGGAGCACAGATAAAATGTGACGTTTCACATGGTCTTCAGTTGAATCAAGTGTAGAGTGAAGTGCATAAATCAAAATGTGTGTTTGGATATCCCGTGTTTATCGAGTGACGCTAGTGTTTCAGGAGTAAGCGAGTATTGTGGATACAACAGCAATGAGGCTCATAACGGGCTACTGGTAGGTACAAGCGACATCGACTTCTTTTTAAGTTATGAGAGAAGTTTTCGCTTTGTCTAGCTTGAAGCATCTTGATTGCAGTTTTATGTACGTTTTCTGAGTTAGCGTTGTGGGGACTTGGCAGGTTGATAACCTGTTTAGGGTCAGTGTCGATATTTTTACCCCAGTGCCAGTCTTTCGTGTCGAATATGTCTGGACTAGAAATCAAAAACTTCTGAAATATTTCTGTAAGCTATATTTTAAAAAAAAAGTGGTTTTATTTATGCGGTAGTCAGATTCTTGGTAAACTTCGCGTAATGCCATTACGTGTGAATCGAAGTATATTTTCGTGCAGACTCGTTTAAAATTGTAGTCACATTTGTTGAACCGAATAAAAATTGTTTTTTCGCCAGTCGTATTTTTTCCACTTTTTGTTTTTGTGTACATCTTGAAGGTGTTCTGGTTCAACATACACAAAAACCTTGTGTGGTCGTAACAAACACGAGCTACTTACGTAGTGATTCTGCGCTGTTGAATTGTTATTTATTATTTACAACGAAACTGATTCGTGTTTTTGATGTTTTATCTTGGTATAGGAAAGTACTTCGTTCATTAAGTGTCGAATTAAAAATGTATATGTTTATGGCCTCCACGCCCCCACTACGCTAGCTGAGTCGTACGTATTTTCGGTTTGTAGTCTTATTTCTCCCCTACTATTCAAGTCCATTAAGAGCATTCCATGCATGCTGTCGACGGACGGGCGTATTCTTTCCCATTTGTGGCAGG